TTGTCATGGCTCGCTGCGAGGACCGAGAAAGTGACCAAAGAAGAAGAAGAAAAGCAGAACTTGGAACTAGGACCCTGCGGGAAAGTAACACATCCAATTGATTGCAGTCCAGGCATGGCCACGCTTACTGTAATTTCTCTGTCTGGGAGGCCTACTCTATGCCTTTCCTGGCTCCCCGTGAGTCTTAGCTGTGTGATGCTAATCACACTGTTTTCATCTCGTCAGGGAACAGTAGACTTGTTTTTTGATCTCCACGTTTTGTTGGCACAGAAAGCACACTGATTCTTTTCCACTTGTAAGTCCACTCGTATCCCTTTCCTGGAGAACCTCTTGTTCTGTCCTTTCCTTCGCTGTCGTGAAATGCCTGAAAGGGTCAACTTAAAAGCTAAAATGTTTACTTGGCTCATGGTTTTGGAGTTTCAAACCAGGGCTGCTTGGTTTGTTGCCTTGGACCTGTGGTACCATAGAAGATCATGCAGTGTCGTACATGGCAGAGCTGCTTGCTTCCACAAGGAAGCAGGGGAGATAGGAAGCAGCCAGGGCCCCGGTATCATGCCTCGCTCATCAGAACCTTATTTGTTGCTAATAGGCCCCACTTCTTGAAGGTTCCATCACCTCCGCATAGACCACACTTTGACTAAGGGACCTGGTGGAGGCCTTCCAGATCCAAGCTACTCACAGCTTTCTACTTTTATACCTTGTACAGACTTGGAAAGGGAGGCACAAACATTCATGTCTATGTCATTCCTGGAGGTTCCAAACTTTTTCTTCTGCGTTTGTTGTTTTGCCTGCAAGGCCCCTTGTCTCCCTTCCTTCTCTTTGTTCAGATATCTCCTCCCATATTTCTGGTCCCCTAGACTATTAGACCTTGAAGTTTCCATCCACCTCACAACCTATGTCTTAATCAGTGTTCTGTTACCGTGAAGACACACCATGCCCACTGCAGCTCCTATAGAAGATAGCATTTAACTAGGGATTGCTTAGTCCATTATCAGTATGGCTAGAAGCTTAATGGTACATAGGCAGGCATGGTGCTGGAGAGGGAACTGAGAAGTCTAGATATGTAGGGAGCAGGAAGAGAGAGACCCTGGGCCTGGCCTGAACATTTGAAACCCCAAAGTTCACCCCCCAGTGACACACTTCCTTCAAGAAAGTCATACCTAGTCCTCCAACAAGGCCACAACTCCTAATCACTGTCAAGCTGAAAATTGCCCTAATGACCAAGCATTCAAATCTGTGAGCCTACGGGGGCCATTCTTATTCAAACCATCACATTTCACTCCCTGGTCCCCATAAGTGTGTAGTCATGTCATACTGCAAAAATGTATTCAGTCTTAACTTCGAAAGTCCCCATAGAGGGCTGGAGAGATGGCTCAGACTGCTCTTCCAGAGGTCCCGAGTTTAATTCCCAGCAACCACATGGTGGCTCACGGCCATCTATAATGAGATCTGGTGCCCTCTTCTGGCATGTGAGCACACATGGAAGGAATGTTGTATACATAATAAATAAATAAATAAATAAATATATATATATATATTTTTTTTTTTTTTAAAAGAAAGTCCCCATTGCCTGTAATTGTCCCAACACTGTTTGCAATTCCAAAATTCAAGTCTCTTCTGAAACTCAGGTACTCTCTTAACTGTAATCCACTGTAAGAGCAAAATAAAAAAGCACATCACATACTTTCAACATACAATGGAGCAGAATACATTACCATTCCACAGGGGAGTAAAGGGAGTGTAGTGAGAATTTTTGGACCAAAGAAAGACCAAAAACCAACTGGGCAAACTCCAAATCTGCATCTCCACGTCTGATGACAAAATGTTCTTCAGATCTCCAACTCCTTTCAGCTTTGTTGACCGCATCATATTCCTCTCTCTTGGGCTGGTTCCACTCCCTGTTAACATTTCTTTTTGGCAGGAATCCACAACTTTGGCATCTCCAACATCTCGGTGTTTCAGAGGCTCTCCAGGCTTCACCTTCACAGCTTCACTGGAAGGCTTCTCTGCGTCTCCATTCAAGGACACTCTTGCCACATCTTTAGCCTCGGTAGCTTTCCTTACTTAGTTTCTCATAGTTTCAGAAGGTTGGCATGTGACCATCATGATGGGGAGCATGGCAGCAGGGAGCAGGCAGCAGGCAGCAGGAAGTCTAGCACGGTGCTGGGGCAGTAGCTGGGAACATACTTTTTGAGACAACTGCAAGGCAGAGAGAGAGAGAGAGAGAGAGAGAGAGAGAGACTGGGAATGACTTGGGCTTCTGAAGCATTGAAGTCTGCCCTCCCTCTAATAAGAGTACACCTTCTAATCCTTCCCACACCTTTCTACTAACTGGGAACCACACATTCAAATATATGAACCCAGAGAGGTCATTGTCATCCAGACCATCATAATGTGTATGAATGTTTGCAAGCATGTATGCTGTGTACCTGTACTACCTGAATACCTGATGCCCATAGAGGTCAGAAGAGGGCACCAGATTTCCTGGAACTGGACTTATAGATAATTGTGAACTCTCTGTGGGTGCTTGGAATGGAACCCCCATGCACTGTAAGAACAAGTGCTCTCAATTGCAGCGTCATTTTTCTAGCCCCCAAGGTGCTCCTTATCTTTTGCCCTCTGATGCATCTTGTATTCCTTGAGTCTTGATTTAAATATCATTAACTCAAGGACATCTTTTTGCTGCTCATTTCCTATGTAAATTTTGTTTTCACTTTTTTATATCTGATGGATATCTTGTTCTATCATGTGGTATGATTTTTTTGAATACTGTTTGTGTAATTATTTGTAGATTGTCATTGCCCTCAGATTTTATGCTCTAGGGCCTGCATTGCTGATCACTCTACTTATTTGTTCTAAAAACAGTTCCTGGCACAATTTATTGTCTAACTGAATAAGATTAATCAACTTCTTTCTGTGCCTTGAGATTATTTCATATTTTACACTATCATAATTAATGCAGCCACAATTATATCTTGAATTCCTTTCTCCCCACATTTAAGTTTTGATTCAAGAATAACTTCTAAAGGGTAAGTTTACAAATTAAAAGGTGTTAGTCTTTTTGAAATCTTTTGCTAACTTTCCCTCAGCCCGTGTCTTTAATGGTTGTCTCCCAAAGTCAGAGATTTCCTTCTCCTGTGCATCCTTGTAAATACTGCACACATAAATATTGGAAAAAGCATTTTCTTTCATAAAAATGAATATTATTCTATTTTAATATTAATTTTCTGTGGTGGTTTGAATAAGATTGATCCTCTAGGACTAGAGAGATGGTTCAACCATTAAAGGGAGGCTAACAACCATAATATAAGAATGACCCCCTCATAGATTTGAATGCTTCATCACCAGGGAGTGGCGGTGTTTGAAAACCTAAGGAGGTGTGGCCTTGTCAGCATAGAAGGTGTGGCCTTGTTGGAGGAAGTGTATCACTGGTAGGGGAGGGGTTTGAGGTTTCAAGAAGCCATGCCAGGCCCAGTGGCTCCTTCCCCTTGATGTTTTCAGATCCGGAAGTAGACCTCTCACCTACCATGTCTGCCTGCATGCTGCCATGCTTCTTGTCATGAGGATAATATACTAAGCCTCTAAAACTGTAAGCTAGCCCCAGCTAAATGCTGTCTTTTTATAAGAGTTGGCATGGTGATGGTGTCTCTTCACAATGCACACCTCCCCATACCAGTGTGTACATACAAACAGATTAAGTCTGAAGTAATTTACTATTTGTGAAGGTGAATGCCTAGTTGACTCTAAGTTAGCAAAGTTGCTGGTGGATCCAACTCTAAATTTTTTTCTTGAGGTGAACAATGTCTGTGACTGAAATAAATATAAACCAGAATGCAAGTAGGAACCGAGGTTAGAACACATTTAGTGTCAGATAACCCTGTATCCTGGTTTGCAATTGTTTAGTTTTGATTTGATTCCCCACTTCCCTGGAACGTGAGTTGACCTTGAACTCACAGTTATCTACCTGCTACTGCCTACTGAGTGTTGGGGTTAGAGGCATGTGCCCGGACACCAAGCCTGGTTTGAATTTTTTGCTGCTGTGTAAACACATGACCAAACACAACTTGGGAAGGAAAGGGTTTACTGGCTTATACCTTAAGATAATAGTCTGTCACTGAGAAATGTTGGGGACAAACTCAGGGCAGGAACTATGAACAGAAACCACGGAGAAATGCCATTTACTGGGTGAATGGGACCCAGAAAATGGGACCTCCAGCACCCTCATTAAAAAGCTGTCCATGACAGGAGGTACCTGTATAATCTTAGCACCTAGGGCAGAGACAATCCTATCTTGGTTGCTCTCTGGCCAGTCAGTGTAGCCAAGTGCGAGACTACATCTCAAAAAGAGAGGCAGATGAAGACACCCAATGCTGACCAGAACTGCTTAGCCATGGATAGCTCTGGCCTTCTGCCTAAACCTTCGTGCCACGAGCCTAAAGATGGACTTGGGAGACAACTCCACTGCTTTGTTCATCTTCCTGAGTAAATCTGATGAGATATATGCTTAGTCATTTTCAGTCTGCTCCCTATCTAGGGTGAGGCTAGAGCAATCACCTTGTACGCATGCTTAGCTGGGGATGATGCGCATGCTGTAATCCCAGCTCTGGGGAAGGGGAGACAGGATGAGAGTTGCTGGTTTAAGGATGTCTTCTATTTTAATTATATGTCAAATGAATTGAGTTATGAATAGGTTAGAAACTTGTACATGGCCAAAACAAAAACAAATAAAGAGTATTTGGAAGCACATAAAAACTCCAATGCTAACTGTTGGGAAATTCGGTTTTTAGCATGTTTCCTTTCCAGGGTTCTTTATGAGCATATGCAGACAGAGGATGTAAAACACTACAGATGTTTGACGCTGGCTCCCACATGCTGTTTTTATTGTACCCCGCTTCTTCACTTTATATCCTCATACTTGTAAATGATTGCATTTTAAATGTATAATCTTTATTAACTGAATGATTATATTGTTTGCTTGCATGTTCTTTTCCTTTCCCCAGACATTGGGACCATGTCTCAGCTTCTGATTCATTGTTATATAGAAGGTGGTTGGCTAACATCGTGCTGTACAACATAATCATCTTACGTTCAGAACAACTCCAGATGGCTAAGTCGTTTTCCAGGTAAACCATTCACTTAGCAGCTCAGGAGAACTCCAGCCACGGGACTCTGTCACTGACTATGTTGACATAGAAACCTTCATTCCTTAGTGTATCCAAGGTATCACCTGGCTTGCCAGGGCTGCACTTTTAAGATAATAATAGGCTTGAGTTTTTTTTTTTTTTTTGTTACTTCCAAAACTCCTCCCTATTATTTTTGCAAGCTAATAACTTGACCTCATCTACTTTCTAGCTGTGGTGGTTTGGTGATTGACTGAACTCTATGAGTGGGACTGGGTTCTTTGGTGGTAGCTGGTCTATCTGAGGTTGAAGCCAGGCTTCACACATGCCATCCATGTGCTCAGAATACGCTGGAGCACAGCCTGGAGCTGGGTCTTTTAACTATATCAGTTAATTACATCAATGAACATTGCCAGGCTGTGGTGGTGCACCTTTAATCCTAGCACTCGGGAGGCAGAGGCAGATAAATCTCTGAGTTCGAGGCCAGCCTGGTCTACAGAGTGAGTGAGTTCCGGGACAGCCAGGACTATACAGAGAAACATTATCTAGAAAAATTCCAGCCAAATGAACAAAAAACAAAAAAGAAAGAAAGAAAGAAACGTTATATTATGGCAAAGAGTTCCCCAATTTCCCACTTAGGATTCTTTTTAGATTTAACTTTTGATATGTAGATATTTAAAATGGATAGATAAATAATCAAATGTGTTATTTCTCTCCCCTAAAATTTATTATTTTTATGCCTCCAAATTTTCTTTTCATTTAGAAGAAAGGTAAATATTAATACGAATTTTCTCTCAGAGGTTTAAAATTTGTATTTCCTTTCTTTCCATTTATATAGTATAAAAAATGTGAGTTCGAGGCCAGCCTGGTCTACAAGAGTTAGTTCCAGAACAGGCACCAAATCCACAGAGAAACCTTGTCTCAAAAACAAAACCAAAACCAAAAATGTTTAAGCTGATTTCAAAAACACAGCTTTTCCAGCAGTTATTAGACAGTAGTTTCTGGGCTGAGGAGACAGCGTGGTTGGTAAGCTACTTTTCCCACAAGCACAAAGGCCCGAGTTCTTCCCTCAACACCCTTCTAAAAAGCCCAATGTCCGGACACAACCTTGTAATCCCAGTGCTGGCGAGGCAGAGACAGGAGGCTCACTGGGGTGCTGGCCAGCCCATCTAGCCCAATTCGTGAGCTTTAGACCAATGAGAGATGCTGTCTCAAAAGCAGAGTGATGGCTAAAGAGGTACCCAAGGCTTCTGGAAGTCTTATGCATGCACATTCACATGCACCCATGTGAACAGGAAAACACACACACACACACACACACACATATATATACATGTGCAGTTATTTTCTTTCCCTTTTGATTTTTTGTTCTTTAAGTTATAAATAATTATAACTAAAAATTGATTATAATTAAAGTCAATTTCTGGGCCTTTGGTTACTAAATTATTCAACACAGTATTGTACTTACATAAGAAAAAAATGTTTAAAGATTCACATTTAATTTCTCCAAACTAATTATTTCTCTTTAGTCTTAATACTTTTTTTGTTTTTTCTTCAGAAAAATTTTGTGCATGCAAAAATAGAAAAGTAGAATTTTGATTAGAATTTTGTGAGCTTAAGAATTACTTGTGACATATGACTATCTTCTTGGTATTTATATTTCCTTCTATACTACCCTTTACTCTCCTATGTCCTTCAGTAGCATTTTGTCATTTCTTTTGTGTAGACTCTACACAGTAAAACTTCTTTTTTCCCCCTAATTGTTTTACAGTCTTCCTTTTGATTGTGGATGGAAGAATGAGTTTGATGGGCTACCACTGAGCTCTGCCTCCAGACCCCTAACCTATATTTATTTTGTCAATTTTATTGACTTTTAATTGATACATAATGATTGCACATTGTACAAGCACAGTGTATAATAAAATAACTTGTTAAATTATTTTAAATTATGTGTATGTATATGTTTGTATACATGAATTCAGGAGCTGTGGAACCAGGACCATCAGATCTCCTGGAGCTGGAGTTACAGGCGGTTGTGAGCCTTGGGAGCCACCAGATGTGATGGCTGGGAACTGAACTCAGGTTGCCTGTAAAAGCAATATGTGCCCTTGACGACTGAGCCATCTCTCCAGCCTTTATTTTGCTACATTTTATAATGCTACTATCCCATCCTTTGCTATCCATGAGAAACAGTTACACTGATAATTAAAAAAATCTAGGCATCAAATATAAAGTAAACATATCAAATCCATACTACCACTAGAAATGGTATAGCTCATTTCTTTTTTTAAGGAAAATCGAGTTAATTAGATTTATTGTTTTCAGCCGCTAGTGATTTGGCTGCCTGAATTTGAATTTCTATCATATGGAAAGTTTTATACTCATTACATAAAAGCACCACAGATTTTTCCATTCCCAGCATCGTCCCATGGTAGCTATATGCCACTCCTGGATAATAAACCTTTAAGTTAGGAACACATAGCAATATTACAGAATCCCCCCAGCAGTATATATGGAGTGATAAACAGAACATGCAGGAAGGAGTCAAGGGCAAAGGATGGGAGAGCCTGTGCACAAAGCATGTCCTGGTGACCTAATGCATTATGAATACAGCTTCAGGCAGTGTCGTGTGGCTCCCTGCACAGGTCAAAAAATTGTCCAAGGTGATATGTACTGATGCATGCATAAAGACACACATTATTCTCGTTTCCCCAGAGCCAGCTGTTGGCTCATGCATGGTAGCCATGTGTTTATCCTGTGGTTCTTGGTCCTGGTCTTCTAGGTACCAAGGAAGGTTTTGTGGGGACTCCCTGAGACAGAGTTTCCTATGTGTGTAAACTTACCTTTTATTTCCAGTGTATTCATCAGCTGGAGAAACTTGGTTTAATTCAATGTGTCAACCCAAATTGCAGAATGGAGTTTCTGGTTCAACTCAAGATTATATGACACAGTTTTGAGAGAGAAGGCTGTAAACTGATATTTGGTTAAATTCCTCAGGTGACTCCAATGTACAGTCAAAGCAGTGATTCTTGAGACCCTCTATACTTCTTTCTTAAGCAACAACCAAGAAAGATAATATTGCTGCTGTTTGTGGTGGAAATCCCCCAGGAAACAGGAAATCATCTCCTGCTGTAACTGGAAGCTTCTTGCTACTTTCTAGATGATTTATCTCAAAAAAAGAATGAGGGCTTAGAATGTCGCCAAAGTGTGGATTCTGGTAGGACGAGATTGGGCTGCTGCACTCAGCTGACACTGTACCTATGCAGGACTAAGACCCATGCTTTTGAAGGGCTTGCAAAAGCAGGGCCTAGGAACCTGCATGCCCCCACCTCCCGCTGGGCTATGGGGCAGGTTCACTTTGTGTCTCATCCTCCTTATTTGTTTTCTTACTAAAGGAAGGGGAAGAGAAAACAAAGTATATACTTAGCGAGACAGTGCTTGACATTAGGGCCTAAGACACTGATTTTAAATCTGGGTCCAGCTAACTATGGTTAAATAAAGCCTGCAGTCCTGACAGCCGAAGAAGCTTGACAGATGTCAACTGTGATGTTTGGCTAGGAAAAGCATGACAAAACATTTTGTGAAACTCACCTTCACTAAGCAGCAGGCGAGCGTCACCTACTTACATGGTCAATGCCGCCATGAAGCCCAGGGCTTGCCCTTGCTTGTCAGTCTGCTTGGCTTCCTGATATTTCAGTTTTCCTGCCTTTGTGCTTATTTTAAGATCCATTCTGCAATAATTCAAGTGCAGTGCGTTTCTGTGCGCGCGTGTGTGCGCATGCACGCACTCACGCATGCACACACGTGCACACACACGATAGGAGACATATCACAGGCATCTTTTCCCATATGGTGCTAGCTAGCAGTTTGGATTTAGTGGCAGTTTTTATAACTTTCAGCTTACCACTGAAATGTCAGAACCCAGGAGAATAAAGCAACTTCTATTTTAGGTTTCAGATTCATTTGCTCTGATCTCTCAAGCAGAGAAGAGTGGGCTCCAAAGGCCCCTTTATGCTGAATATATTTAACTTTCCGCTCCCCGCTACCTTTTCGGTTTACTAGGGGCAGGGGTGTCCCAGTATCTCTCTCTTTGTTCACTTACTGACATTTATTGAGCATGTGCCACAAGGGAGAAGCTGTCACCAGCCTTAACAAACTGACCTTTCTGGCAGTGGAAACCAGAGTAAGAGAAACCACATTAAAAACAAAAAAAAATCACATTGCTCCAAGACTAGGTCTTTAACTGGTGCAGAGACTCACCTCATTTTTAACCAGCTCAAGAAATCTGAGCACAACGCAGTGCAGATTAACTTGCTCCAAGAAAATTAATAAATTTGCCTCAGTACTAGCTTTTAAGTCAGAACTACATTTTATAATCCCCGCGTGACTTTGAAAGGCCTGAAAAAGCTCCCTGGAAATGCTTAGCTTTCGATCCTTTTCACAAGTCAATACTTACTGCTTTCAGACATGGTGTGTCTCTTTCCCCACAGCTCCCTTGGTCTACCAAGGAGCTGAATAGCTTCCTTCTGTTCATACCTCATTTAAACAGAGAACTAATTCTGTGGCAGTTGTTCTACAAGGGTAGCTCATATCAAATGTTGACCTGTTGGATTATCGCTAGTCTGAATAAAGAATATTACTGAGATGTTATTTCGGTGGAATTTATTTAGTAAGAGGTGGAATGTCACTCTCAAATGATCGTTAAAATACACACAGATTTACAATACTACAGACTTTTTTCAAGTCAATGGTATTTTAATGTAATTTAGGGACCAGCTAGTAAGGTTTTGGGGAATATTTCATTATTGATTTGGCTGGCTGGAAGGACTCTTTTTGGTAAAAGAGACGCAACCTTGCATGTAGATTTTAGTAGACTGGAAGACAATTTGGGCCCGTTGGAAACCATGGCTTGGTTGGCTGTGATGAATCTCATGACCAGGCAGCAAGGCTGAGCGACACCGAAGGGCTCCATTCTTTTTACAGAAGGGCCATAAAGCAGCTT